GGGGCCGGAGATCCCCACCTGAGGGCTCGGGGGAGGGAGGGCCTGGAGCTCACAAGCCCCGTTCCCAACTCGGGCCAAGGGTACGACTCCATCCATCCCCTCCCCACCCCCGCCCTGTCCCCAGAGGCAGTAACTCCACTGTGTGTGGAGTGTGTGCCTCACGCGGGTCAGCAGTGAGCATCTCAGGCCCTATTCGCCCTCATTCGGCAGGTGCCATCAGCCTTCCTCCTACCCTCCAGTGAGGCCCCCGCCTCTCACTGACTCACCCCCGCAAGGCCAGACAGCAGGGCTGGAGGACCCACTGTGCATGCAGGTGCCTCTGAAAAAAGGGCCCCTTTTCATTTTCATCCAGCAGCTTCATCAGCAGACGGGGTGCAAGACACGTGCCGCTGTCCTGACCACGACGAATGAGGAAAGGGCAGCTGGCCTTGCTCACCCATCAGGGACGGCGGGCCCAGGACCCTCGGCTCACACGTGCCAGCGGGTCTGCCCTGCGCCTGCCCTTGTCTCCCAAGTTCTGTTTTGGCTGAGGCTTCAAATGTTGGTGACAGTGTTACAACTGTGGATGCAGATGACCCCTCCCTGCAGAAGCTTGGGGTGGGGGTGGGGGGGCGCTGGCGAGGCTCGGACTGATCACCACGCATCAGCCTCCCCAGGTGGGACGGCAGGGGGATGTTTTCTGAAGAACCGAGCGAGTGACCAAAGACCTCCACGTCCTGAGTGGTGGGGATCTTCCAGAGGAGAGGCCGGGAGCTTGAACTGAGAGTCACCCACGGCACAGCCCAGGGCAGACAAGCCTGCCCGCTCCCTGTCCCAGGTCCCGACCTCAGGCCCCAGCCCAGGCCGACAGCTCCCACAGCACTGTCTCCACCCTCAGCCTCTCCCATGAACGCTGCAGCCAAATGCCTCCACTCCGAGATCCACAGGCAATTCAAGGTCCACAGCCCAGAACACAAGGCTCAGCTTCTACCTCCAAACCTGTTCCCCCTGCCAGTGCAGTAAATCCTTTCAACCAGTTTTTCAGGCCTGAACCTCGCAGGCACTGTGAGCTCCTCTCTCGCCCCAGGCCCCCAAAACAGCAGCAAACCTGGCAGCTCCGCCCTTGAGGTGCGTCTGCTTTACCGCCTTCGTCATTCCCTGCAGTCAGATCCACCCTCATGCCTCACTTAGAAGGGTCCCCGGCCCCCACTGTGGCCGGGGTGGTCTCCCGACCGCAAAGGACCCTGCCCCAACCTCAGTCACGCTCAGAGCAAAGGTTAAAGTCCTTTCCAGAATTACTCAACATTTGTTGAGTGAATGAATGCACTTCTAATCGGTTTTAGTGCCACCAAACGGAGGAGCTCCAGGAGGGCCAGTAAACACACAAAAAGGCACTTACGTCGTCTCAGACATGCAAACGTAAGCCACCGTGAAGCACCACCCCCCACCCCCTGGGAGAAGTGCTGAAACGGGCAGACAGACAGTATCAAGTCTGGTCCCAGGTGTGAGGCCACAGGAGCCGCGCCTGCTGCCCGAGGAGTGTGAATCCGTGCGGCCGCCTTGGAAAACCAGCTGGCAGAACGTCACACCTGGTGACACGGCAGTTTCACTCCTGCGGCTAACCTCTCCCCAGCAGAGACCCATCCGTAGGTCCGCGAAAGACATGAGCATGAGCCACACTCTCAGTAACTCCAAACTGGACACTATCCGCAGTTTCCTCCGGAGCCAAACGAATGAGCTGTCCCACTGTCACTTGACAAACTGCTACCCAGCAGTGGCTCTTGACGGACGTGCTGCCCCTAGACCGGCAGCATCACCTGGGCACCTGGTCCAAGTGCTCACTGCTGTCCCCTCCAGACCTAAGGAGTCTGAACTCGGCCTGCTGCGAAAGCCCTCCAGGGGCATCTGATGCTCGGGAAGGTGTGAGGACCCCGTCTCCCCGGCCGGGAGCCCCACGAGGGTCCACACCACGGAGACCTTCACAAATTCCGTCAGGAAGTCGGGAGAGGGCTATTGGTCGGTACGCAGAAAACTAAGCAAATGAAAATACTTCTTTTTAAAACTTTCAGGAAAACACAGGTTGTACAAGAAAGAGAACACACAATACAGCCGTGCTCCCCAGCCAGACATGCACCACACGTGGTCACAGGACACGAGCGTGGACAACAGGGCATCCAACGCGGACGACCCAGGGGAGGGCTGTTGTTTGGAACACAGGTGTGACCATCAGAACCCTGAGAACAACAGCCCCTGAGGATAAGGGTGAGGATGACGGGGACAGGGCGCTGCTGGGTCCACGACACTCCCTCAAGCGGTATTTCACTGGTGACCGTCCCCGTGTGAGCAACAGATAAACAAGAGAATCACAAATCAAAACAGCACCTGTGGGCAATGGGGCTGCTGGGTCAGAGCCCCGCCGTGTCCCCTCTGCTCTGGGCGGCCGGAGGCAGGCAGGGGGCATCCCCCCATCATGGGGCAAGCACACTGACCAGTCCAGGGGCAAACACAGCTGGGAAGAGGCACAGGAGGGACAGAAAGGTCACATGGGAAGTCCTTCTGTGAAGGAAGGGGCTTGGGAGCTGGGCCTAGGAGAGAATTTGGTTTTCGGGGGTGTGGGCCAGAAGACAGGTGGGAACAGGCCGGGCGTGCCTGGAGAACGCCAAGGAGTTCAGTTCGGCTGCCAGAGGGTTGGCCACGCGGGGCTGTGGAGACAACAGACAGGCTTTGGGAAGCATAACCCACAAGGGTGTGCAGGCCAACCCCGGGGCCAGGAGCCTGGAGGATGAGAGCGGGGGAGTCCTGGGCCGTGTCACTAGTAAAGCGACGAGTTCATACCCAGCCACCTCCTGGCCCTTCCCTCCAGCGAGCTTCTGCTGGGAAACCTAGCACAGTTCCCTCGGTCACACTGGAGCAGCTTTTGTAAGGTCACAAAAGTCGGCTCTTTTGACTGCAGACAGGGCTGCTGTCAAGTTCCACTGTGACCTCCCCTCCACCATATTCTGCGTCAGGGGGCACTGGAGTGGCAGGGGGATTTGGGGCTAAAAGGAAGCAAAGCGGAGGTGAATTTCCGTTGGGTTTTGCGGGACAGACTCGTGGGGTGTGCAGTCATGTTTGTACGTCACTGTCAGCCATCCTCCGTACGAATGGCTTCCAGAAACGCCAGTACCGTGCATGCAGGCAGACTCGGCACGGTGACACGAATGCAGGACCAGAGGAGCAAGCGGGCGTGTGCAGGGGCAGCTGGCACGTGGGATGATGGAAAGAAACAGGTTTCAACTGCCCAGGGCCAGAAGCTAACCTGGACAAATCTTTCCCACCTCACGACTGATACGTGAAAAACCCCGACAGGATTCTCACATTTGATGGCAATCCTAAAAATGTACAACACGACCCTACCAATCACAAGTGTGAAGCCTAACTGAACTTCCCTAAACTATCAGTAAGCCATCAGCCATCCTACAGGAAAGCCTGAATTTCTCTTTCCAGTCTCTCTATAGAAAACACTACAAAATCATTGTCACCCAAAGACACAAAGAGAGAAAGCCAAAAATGTGGAAAAAATTATTAGAGAAGATTGAGAAGTGCTTAAAAATTATTTTATGTATTTTGCTCTATTTGTTAGCACCTAAAAATGTATACTGTTGTGATCTTATTCTAAATAAACAATTTTTATATCTAGTGTTGAATTTGTAATTTTGTGGGGTTTTTTTCTTAAAGACGGTCCCTACATTTTCTAAACCTCAGGCTCAACAAAACCTGGACCTACCCCTGCAGGTTAATTTAAAAAGCATAGTTTTCTGGGGGTAGGGGTGGGAAGGGATAGACTGGGAGTTCAAAATTTGTAGATACTGACAGGCATATGTAGAATAGATAAACAAGATTATACTGTATAGCACAGGGAAATATATACAAGATCTTGTGGTAGCTCATGGTGAAAAAAAATGTGACAATGAATATACGTATGTTCATGTATAACTGAAAAATTGTGCTCTGCACTGGGATTTGACACAACATCGTAAAATGACTATAACTCAATAAAAAAAGTTTAAAAAAAAGCATAGTTTTCTAAGATGGTTTTGTTTCACATCACAGAAAAGATGGTAAACACTCATTTCAATGAATATTGCTCTTTGTATGGGTGGTGGTGATGGAGTGGGCTGACCTCACCCCCTACAAAGCCCAGGAACAAGGGAGCGGCTCCCGCAGCAGTCCGGGTGGTCGGCACTGGACTGGACAGATGCCTCCCAGAGGCACAGAGGCGTCTCTGGAGCAGCTGAAAGCAGCAAACTTACTAAAATAGGACGGGGCGGGTGGGCACGCCAGGACGCAGGGTATACCCTGTACTCTCCTCTGGCTAAGAGGAGGATTCCCCACTCACCCGCCTTCATTCCTCTCGGGGCGATCTGGCCAGGATCCCTCCAGTCAGCACCCTGTCACTGTGAGACCATCTCTAAGACAACCTGTCCCTCTTTACACAGGCTGGGACGGCCCAGCCACAGGCCGTTCTGGCCGCCCTCCCTGCCAGCGCCCAGCAGGCAGGAAGCATCAGCATTAATGCCCAAGAGGGAGCCTGGAGTCCTAGGCTCCCTGACCAGACCCTTCATGGCAGAATCCTTGTTTCACCCTTCCCCAGCTCTCAAAAAAAGCTGCTTCTGTTGTTGCTGGCAAACTGCAAAAGCCTAAGAGATCCCTTAAATAAGTCACAATTCCTAAGACCCTTAGAATCGTGGCTGCTATGAGGCAGATTCTATGTAAGCATTTGCAAGTATGTTTTTTAAAAGTTTCAAAAACTCTTCTGTTTCCTCAAGGATCTAAATTTGAAAAGCCACAGAGAACCGTAACAACTCACCAGGGTTTACATAGTAGTGTCTGAATCCCAAATAGGCTTCTCTTAAAAAGTTTTACGGTGGAACCTAAAAGTTACCAAATGCCCCGAGGACGCTCACTCTGGGGAGGGGAGTCGGCAAGTGCGCGCGCTGCACGGTGGACCCGCTTTCCAGGAAGGCCGTCTGCCCTGCAGCTGCAGGCTCCGTCAGTGGAGCGGGCAAGCTTGGGGTCCTCCTCCTCCCCAGGGATCGAATCTCTCAGCGCCCCCTCGCCCCCTTTTAAGTCATGCGTTCCTCACAGGCTGAGTCTTGGGTCTTTCAAACCGCAGCGGGCGGGTGGCCAACACAGACGGTGTCCGCTCGTGTTGAAGGCTAACTTTTTAGGGGCTTCGAGGGTTCACAGCGAGGTACCGCCGACTCCCCGTGCCCGTGGGGACTCACTTCTAATGCAGGACTGGTGACAGCCTGGTGTTAACCTGCGGAGCGCTTTCTGACTGAAAAGGAGCTGCTGTTCGGGGGGCAGGAAGCCCGCCTGCGGGCAGCGCTCCCCCTCCTGTCCGCCCCCCGGCTCCGGGTCGCCAGGGCGCAGCCCTGCGCCTTCCCGCCAGGCGGGAGCCGGCCGCCCCTCCGCCCGCCTCCCCCGCGCCCAGGCCGCCCCGGGAGGGCGGCGCCCCCACTCGCCGCCGCACGTGGCCTGCGGAGCCCCAGGTGTCAGGCACCGAGGAAACGGGGGAGCAAAACACACGAAAGAGAGAAGAGACGGGCTGCCCTCCGCCGCTTTCGTCAGCTCGGCGGCCGGACCTTCATCCTTCCGGTGAGGGAGCAGTTCCTCTAACGCGGAGTGGAACCCACTACACTCGGGACGCGGAAACACCGGCCATAGCCCCGAGTGCACGCGGCGGAGTTCGAACCCGCGGCAGTCCTGCCCACTGGATCAACTCCAAGGCAACCCCCGCGCCCTGACGCGCCCGCTCCCGCCAGACCGCCCTGCGTCCTGAGCCCGCCCACGCCTCCAGCCCGAGGGACCCAGGGCGCCCGTCCAGGTGCGGGGGCGTAGGTGTGCAGGTGTGCGGGAGGCCGCACGCAAGCCCTCGGAGTTCGGCCGCGGGGTCTCCCTCTGCCCACGCCCTGCGCCCGCTCTGCCCCCAGTCCGAGTGCGGGCGCCGTGCGCCCCGGGCCGCGCTCACCTGTCCCGCCCGCAGCGCCAGCTGCACGGCCGCCTCGAAGCACTCCTCCCAAGGGTCCCCGGCCTGCGCCTCCCGGTCCTCGCCGCTCGGCTTCATCGCCGCCTCCGGGCGCGCCAGCGCTCCCACATCCAACGCCAGGCTCCGCTCTCGCCCCGCGCCTCCCGTGGCTCCGCGCCTGGACCGCGCCCGCCGGCAGTTGTGCGGCCCGGCGGTGGCAGCGAGCGGG